TGTGTGTGTGTGTGTGTGTGTGTGTGTGATTATCTGTGTGTACACAGTGTTTGTGGTGTGTTCGTATAATGTGAGTGTGTGTGTGTGTGTGCGTTTGTGTGATTGTCTGTGTACATAGTGTATGTCGTGTGTTCATATAATGTAAGTGTGTGTGCGTGTGTGTGTGTGTGTGTGTATGTATGTGTGTGTGCGCGTGGGTGTGTGTGTGATTGTCTGTATGTACATAGTGTATGTGATCTGTTCATATAATGTAAGTGTGTGTGTGTGTGTGTGTGTGTGTGTGTGTGTGTGTGTGTGTGTGTGTGTGTGTGTGTGTGTGTGTGTGAGTGTGTGTGTGTGTGTGTGTGTGTGTGTGTGTGTGTGTGTGTGTGTGTGTGTGTTTGTGTGTGTGTGTATGTATGTGTGTGCGTGTGTGTGATTGTGTACATAGTGTATGTGGTATGTTCATATAATTTAAGTGTGTGTGTGTGTGTGTGTGTGTGTGTGTGTGTGTATGTATGTGTGTGCGTGTGTGTGATTGTGTACATAGTGTATGTGGTATGTTCATATAATTTAAGTGTGTGTGTGTGTGTGTGTGTGTGTGTGTGTGCGTGTGTGTGTGTGTGTGTGTGTGCGTGCGTGCGTGTGTGTGTGTGTGTGTGTGTGTGTGTGTGTGTGTGTGCGTGTGTGTGATTGTGTGCGACCGTGTGTGCAAGAGAGCAAGAGTCTGTGCGTGTGAGTGTGTGTGTGTGTATGTGTAAGTGAGTGAATGTGAGTGTGTATGAGTCAGTGTGTTTGCATGATGTTTGTGTGTGTGTGTGTGTGTGTGTGTTAGAAAGAGAGCAAGTGTGTGTGTGTGTAAGTGTGTGGATGTTTATGTGCACGTGTGTGTAGTAAAATGTGTGCAGAAAAACTACATTACCCATGATGCTTTGCATGCAATCCACCAATCAGATTCACAGTTAGCAAACCTCACCATAAAAGCGCTTTGGCTCCGCCCACTGCCATAAAGCACCACTAATTGAGTAATCGAATCTCAATATGTTCATAAAATAGTGAAATATTTGTGTTTAAATGTATATTTTAAATGAAATAACAAACTTTAAATGAATATTTCATATATGTGGCATGTTTGAATGTGAGTGTGTGCTTAGCAATGCATCATGGGATTGTAGTTCTTCCCTCATTAATGCATTTATGCTTCAAATCTAAATATGTAAAGTTGAGGTTATAACTTTTTAAACCCCCTATGAAGAATAAAAACACAACAGTCACTCTTGTGAATCAGTGACATCACTTCCTGTGTGTGTGTGTGTGTGTGTGTGTGTGTGTGTGCGTTACGTACGTGGTCTTGTCCACCTCTTTGTGGATCTTCTTGATGGAGAGTTTGATGTTGTACTTGATGCTGTTCAGGATGTTCTTGAAGTACGTTTTCTCGTTCACGTCAAACTGCAGAGACCAAAAAATGCGAGCTCAGCATACGCTCTAACAATCGGATCATCTGATTGGTCGAAATCATCCTACCGCATATTCCTCGTCGATAAGCTCAGGCTTTAACAGGAAGTCCGGATAACCCGTCATAACCATCATGTGCTGCAGCTGAGAGACAGAAACGTTCACCATAATAATAATCATGTGTTTATATATCAGCTGTTTGTTTATAATAGATAAATAAATTAAATTAATTACTCTTTTTTAAAGTAAAGTAACTCCAGTGTGAGAAGGAGATAATGAAGCATCACCTTTCCTCTGGCGGCGTCTTTGGTTTCTTCATCCATCCAGTCGAGCTCCTGCAGCCTCACATCCAGAGAGTGTTTAATATCCTCCACCAGCTCCTGCACCTGTGGCCGGAGACAGGCTGTCAATCAAATCTGTCCATACATTTGATTGGCTCTGTGAACGTGTGATCTGCACCTGTCAATGTGGGCGGAGACTAGCTGTCAGTCAAACCTGCCACCACATTTGATTGGCTCTGTGAACGTGTGATCTGCACCTGTCAATGTGGGCGGAGACTAGCTGTCAGTCAAACCTGCCACCACATTTGATTGGCTCTGTGAACATGTGATCTTCAACTGTCAATGTGGGCGGAGACTAGCTGTCAATCAAACCTGCCACCACATTTGATTGGCTCTCTAAATGTGTGATCTGCACTTGTCAGTGTGGGCGGAGACTAGCTGTCAATCAAACCTGCCGCCACATATGATTGTCTCTGTGAACATGTGAAATGCACCTGTCAATGTGGGCGGAGACTAGCTGTCAATCAATCCTGCCACCACATTTGATTGGCTCTGTGAATGTGTGATCCGCACCTGTCAGTATGGGTGGAGATTTGCTGTCAATCAAATCTGCCACCAAATTTGATTGGCTCTGTGAATGTGTGATCTGCATCTGTCAATGGGGGTTAAGACTAGCTACAATAAATGAATAATGAATTTAATAATTGTATAAATACATTTGTTAATTAAATAAATAAAAAATAAAATTTGATTATAAAAATTATAAAAAAAATAAATTAAATAAATTATTGTTTAAAAGTAATACAATTCTGATAATTCAAAGTGTTTTTTTACATAATAAATAAATTATTAATAAATGTGATACATATATAAATATAATAATTAATTAAAAACAAACAATAATAACATTTTAATATAAAAATTAATAATTAATTAATGTATTAAATAATAAATTAATTAATTTTAAAAGTAGCAAAATTCTGCGAGTTTAAGGTATTTACTTTACATAATAAATGAACACTAAATGTAAAATATATATAAATATGATAGCTAATTTAATACAAATGATAACATTTAAAAAAAAGATTTATTAAATTAATAATTAATTAAATAGTTTTTAAAGTATCAGACAATTCTGCAAATTCAAAGTACTTAGTTTACATAATAACTAAATAATAATAAATGTGATAATTAAATACAAATAACAATAACCCTTTAATTAATTTTTACATAAAAATTATTAACTAATTAAACTACTAAATAATTTATTAAATAGTTCTTGTT